GGAGGGGGAGGAGTACCAGGAGGAGGAGGAGGAGGAGGAGGAGGAGGAGGAGGAGGAAGAGGAGGAGGAGGAGGAGGAGGAGGAGGAGGAGGACGAGGACGAGGAGGAGGAGGAGGAGGAGGGGGGGGAGAGTACCAGGAGGAGGAGAACGAGGACCACCAGGGGAGGAGGAGGAGGAGGAGGAGGAGGAGGAGGAGGAGGAGGAGAGAACACCAGGAGGAGGAGGACGAGCAAGACGAGGAGGACGAGAACGAGGACGACCAGGAAGAGGAGGAGGAGGAGGAGGAGAGGGGAGGGGGAGGACTACCAGGAGGAGGAGGAGGAGGAGGAGGAGGAGGAGGAGGAAGAGGAGGAGGACGAGAGGAGGAGGAGGAGGAGGAGGAGGAGGAGGAGGAGGGGGGAGGGGGGGGGGGGCGGAGAGCACCAGGAGGAGGAGGGGAGAACGAGAACCACCATGAGGAGGAGGAGGAGGAGGAGGAGGAGGAGGAGGAGGAGAGAGGGGGAGGAGGAGGAGGAGGAGGAGGAGGAGGAGGAGGAGGGGAAGAGACAGAGGAGGAAGACGAGGAGGACGAGAACGAGGACGAGCAGGAGGAAGAGGAGGAGGAGGAGGAGGAGGAGGGAGGAGGGGAAGGAGCAGCAGGAGAAAGAGGAGGAGGAGGAGGAGGCAGGCTGAGGCTGAGGCTGTGACTGCGACTGCCGTTGCCGCTGCGACTGTCATCGCGAATGCGACTACGACTGCGAGAACAGCAGAATTCGACAACTGGATTTTCATCTGAATCTTAAGGGGAATGCTTTCAGATATGCTTCTACACATCGCTGTTAGGTTGCTTTGCCGGGATAATTTTTCATAAATGAGAGTTCAGCACCACCATTGACAATCATTTTAAGACTGTTCGCCCTTGTCTGCTCGAGTGTCCACTAACGCGCATTTCCCAAACCTTCGATGCCTGCATGTTCGTCTTCGGTCGAACCCCTTTTGGGGGGTATACCTGTCTTCCCTGCAGGCCGGGCCCTGGCGAGCGGCGGGGCGGCCGCGGACCGTCGGCGTGGCCAGCGGCAGCGCTGATCGGCGGGGCGTCCGCGGACCGTCAACCCGACCCCAAGAAGGACTGACAGGGGACCGACCACGGCGACGACGACGACGATAACGACGACGACGACGCCGACGTTGACGTCGACGACGACGACGACGACGGCGACGACGACGACGACGGCGACGACGACGACGAGCGAAAGCGTGGGCGAGAGAGAACGACAGCAGGGCCACAAGGACACGATGTCGGTTACAAAGGGCGACAGCGGGGACACGCAGGGAATGCGTGCGCGGTCACGAAAAGCGCGAACTTGCGGGGGCCACGAAGGGCAGATAATGCGGGGCCACAAGAGCAACGATGGGGCCACTGAGGGTAGCAACTGGGCCGCGTAGGACAGTGAGGGGGTCGCAAACGGCAACAGCGGGGCCACGAAGGGCATGCGCATGGGGCCACAGCGGGCGCGAACGAGCGGGGGCCACGAAGGGCATGCGCATACTGGGCCGCGGAGGGCAATGACGGGGCCACTGAGGGCAGCAACGGCGCCGCGAAGGGCAGCGATGGGGGCCGCGAAGGGCGACGGCGGGGCCATCGAAGGCATGTGTATGGAGCCACCACGGGCGCTAACGAGCGGGGGCCACGAAGGGCATACATACGGGGCCACGAAGGGCAGCGAGGGGGCCACGAAGGGATGCAACGGGGCCATGAAGGGCAGCGAGGTGGCCACAAAGGGCTACAACGGGGCAGCGAAGGGCTGCGACGGGGCCGCGAAGGGCAGCGAGGGGGCCACGAAGGGCTGCAACGGGGCCACGAACGGCAGCGAGGGGGCCACGAAGGGCTGCAACGGGGCCACGAAGGGCTGCAACGGGGCCACGAAAGGCTGCAACGGAGCCGCGGGGGGCAGCAAGGGGGCCACGAAGGGCTGCAACGGGGCCACGAAACAAAGCGAGGGGGCCACGAAGGGCTGCAACGGGGCCACCGAGGGTAGCGAGATCCCGATTCCTAGGTAATCTTTGAGAGAGTCCTAAGCGTGAGCGCGACTTCTGGGTGCCTGGGTGTCGGGAGCGCGGCACTTGAGTAAATTTGAGGAAATTCCAGCGCAAAGGCGTTATTCTTCAGTAGATTGTAAGCAAGTTTCCAGCGAGAGCGCGACTCCAAAGCGCCGGGAAAACGATTTCCTAAAACAATGCAAGGGAGTCCCAAGCGAGAGCGCGATTCCTACATAAAGTGCGAGGAAGTCTCGGGCAGGAACGGGGGTTTTGGTTACATTGTGAGGAAGTCTCAGGCGGGAGTCGTTGTTGTTGTAATCCGGGGGCCAGGGGCACAGATTGAGCTTCAACACTTTCCTTGATAAAATGCAGGGTGCGCGCGTCGAGGGGCACACTTTGATTGAAAAACAGTATGCGCCGGTGGGGGGGATCAACAATTGTTATTTTTCAGAAATGAGAGTTTAACTGCAGCAACAACAACAGTAAGAACAACAACAACGGCAGCAACAACACTATCACCAACAACACTATCAACATCACCACCACCACCAAAAACAACAATAACAACAGCAACAACAACATCAACACCAACAATCATTTTAAGACGTATCGCTCTTACTGGCACGCGTGTCTTGCATTCCGTATAACCCCACCTCGATACCCGCCCGCTTCGTCTTCGATTGCACCCCCTATCGGGGGGAATCTATTCCTTGTCGGCCACTGACGGAAGTGCGAAGAAGTCTCGAGCGAGAGCGCCATTCCTGAGTTCGGGGGCCTGTATGGCCACGGGCTCTCGGAGCACTTATGGGGAAATATCGAACGGGAACCCTTGTCGCCATGTCGGGGCCTCCACCAACTCGCTCGAACTACGGGAAAGTCTCGAGCGAAAGCGCAGTTCCTGAGTTCGGGGGCCTTTTTGGCCAGGGGCTCTCGGAGTAAATCGTGAGGAAGTATCGAGCAGGAGCCCTTGTCGTCGTGGCTGGGCCTCCGCCAACTTAATTGAATTGCGAGGAAGTCGAGCGAGAGCGCCGTTCCTGAGTTCGGGGGCCTCTCTGGCCAGGGTGTTTTTGGGTAAATTGTAAGGGCCCACATGTAGGGTCAAGCCAACGCTCGAGCGGGAACCTTGTTTTAAGCGAAAATGTAGACGGCGTCGAGGCGACAGCGCGCGGAACCGTTTCCGGAGATCAATGATTACCCTTAAGGGCTTCGCCCCCTGCCGCCGGCCCCCTTTCTCGGATAATGGGCAATGCAAGAGCGAAGTCATGAGGCCTTGGCGCCGCCGTGAAGCAGCGTCGGGACTGCACGCGAGGACGATGAGTAATCGGCAAGACAAATTAAGATTCCGATGATATGGTTGAATTCGGATACGCGGATAGCGCGTAATTTGCGAGGGTTTACGGCTTCGGGCTCGCAAGTATAGCGTAATTTACTCAGGTTCATGGTTTCGGGGACGCGAACACAGCGTAATCTGCGAGTGTGTATGGCTTCGGACACGCAACAACAACACCAACAACAACAGCAACACAACCACCACCAACAACAGCAACAGCACCAACAATAATAGCAACAACAACGACAACGCAACAAGCAGACTTCTCACCACGCATCCCCACTTCAGCCACGCACCCAGCCACTTCCCCTATGTGTGTGTATATATATATATACACATACATGTGTGTATATTATATACACATATTCGCATGCAGCATCTGAGAACCCAGAGTTGCGAGGACGTCTCGGGCGAGTTTGGCTGGACCACCTCGCGCGTGGCCCTGGGCGAACTGGCTCGGACCACAGGTCAAAGCATATCTGAGCCCAGAGTTGCGAGGATGTCCTTTGCGAATCAAGCTGGACCAACTCAGGTCAGAGCATCTCCGATCCCAGGGTTGCGATGATGCCTCTGGCGAAAGTGGGCCAGACCACCTCGCGAAAGGTATCTCTGCGCCGAGAGTGGCAATAATGTCTCAGGCGGAATGGGCCAGACAACATCAAGCCAGGACACATCTGAGCCCGGAGTTGCAAGGATCCTCAGGCGAGCCGGGCCGCACCTCTTCGCGCGCGGCATCTAGGAGCCCCGAGTTGCGAAGATGTCTCAGGTGAAGTTGGCCAGGCCACCTCGCGCGCGGCATCTCGGAGATTCGCGAAGATGTCTCAGGCGGGAATGTCTGAGGCAAAATTGGCCAGATCACTCCGCGCGCGGCATGCCTGAGCCCAGAGTTGCGAGGATGTCTAAGGCGAAACGGGCTGGACCTCCTCAGGGTATGGGCATCTCTGAGCCCACAGTTGCGAGGATGTCTCAGGAGAAACGGACCCAAACCACTTCGCGCGTGGCATCTTATCCCAGAGTTGCGAGGACGTTCCAGGCGAAATGGGCCAGGCCACCTTGCCAATGGCAAGCCAGAGCCCAAAGTTGCGAGGATCTCTCAACGCAATGTAATGCAGTGCAATGGGGAGTGATGCAACGGAAAGGCAACCCCATGCGTTTTAATGCAATGCCATGCGATGCAAGTGCAGGTGGTCATGAGACAGAGGCTTCCAATGTGGGAGATGCGGGGTAAAGAGAGGGAGATAAGGATAAGGAGCATGATGATGATGATGACGATGATGATGATGCTGATGCTGATGATGAGGATGATGATGAGGAGGAGGAGGAGGTAGAGTGTTTTTTTTTTCATAGCTCCCCATTCAACTTGGCATGAACTACAGTGCAGCACCAATAGTAGGAGGCTGGGCTGGCAACATGGTCGACCACATCGGACGCGCATTTAGCATAGCAAAACCCACTTGACAGGAACATGACTTGCGGGGGTAGAGGTCTGCCGAACGAGCGACGCAATTCACCAGTTCCAAGCCGTTTTGCTGATTGTCATTTTTGCGAGAGCTCTTTCGTGCGGCCGTCAGGCAAGCACCCGCAGGCAGTGTGCAAGGATGGCGCCTTTGAGTGCAATTTTTTGTGTTCTGCGAGGGGCTCGTGTTCCTGATGTGCGGCCACGTGGCAGTGGGAGAGGGAGCGAGCACGGACTCAACCACGGTGAGCCCAGCCTCCACTGCTAGACCTCCACCACTGGGCATGACCGACATCACACCAGCGCTATCAGCATACGCCGTTTACGACGAGGCTGGTGAGACCAGAGAACAGTCCAATTGGACCTGGTCCCGTGGCGTGGTTACGCAGACAAGCAATGTTCATTGCGGTCACCATTGCAGCCCGTCTCAGAAGGGAACGATCCTATACGCAGGCAGTGCGTTAGCTGATTACGTCTGGAGCGTCGATGTCGCCGGCGAGGACGACGACGCTTTTGGTATTGTGTTCCGCGTGGCGGATACTCATAATTTTTATAAGTTATATAAGGTCCGCAATGGCGTACAGAGCGAGTTATGGCACGCCTCGACGAACGAGTCCTACGGGAATGGCCGCGAGTATACCCTCCAAGTGCGGACGGACGGCTGCCGCTTCGTTGGGCACTACCGAGGCGGCGAGGACTTCGACGTCACAGACCGCGACTGTGTGGCAGCTGGTGGCGTGGGCGCGTATTCTTGGGGGAGCGGTGGCCAGTGGAGCTCGAGAGCCCAAGACGCGGCACGAGCACGAACTCGCGGAGGCCCGCGCGCATCTCGGGGCACCAGCGCTGGGCTCTCCTCCCCCGCGCCCCTGTGCCGGAGGTCCAGTGAGGCGCGGGGGAGGGGCTCCCAGCGCCGATGCCGGGGCCTCCCGCCGGAGGCCCGGGCAAGAGGGGCGCGCGGGCCTCGGCGAGCCGTGCCTGGTGCAGCGCCTCGGCGCTCCAGGAGCAACATGCTCCTGACCACGGTGGCCGGCCGCGGGCAGGAGCTCAGGGCCCCAACAGCCGAAGACCTCGAGGTCCCGAAGGGCTCACCCCAGCGGTCCGTCGCCGGACGGCGTGGGGAGGGCTTCTTGGGGGTGCCCTGGGGCGCTCGAGAGGCGTCCTCGCAGAGCGGCGCGCAGGTCCTCGAGCTTTCCACTCACCCCGTATCACCCTCGGCTCACCTCAGGGACAGCGTGAGTGAATCGGGGGGGGGATCTGCTCATGGGGGGATGCGTCGACCTCCACTCGCCCATGCATCGCCGAAATGGGCCCATCGCCGATCTACCGGCGATGTATCGCCGATTCCAGCTCGATGCTCCCCCCGCGGAGCCGACCCTTCCTGCAGTCGGCAACGGTTGTGAGGTCGACCCTGCCGAATCCAGGCTATCCTTGCGTATTGTCTATTCCGCCTCGTGTCCCCTGCATGTCTGAGGCAAAGGTGCTCTTTACGTCCGAGGCTATGTCACTGTCGGAAGGGTCGTGTGTCCGATCGCATGTCCTGTCCAGATATGTCCGACTGGGCGGTGCGGCTACCGGGCCGTTGGGGGGAGCCTTCTGGACAGGGGCGCAGGATGGACCCGGCCATCGCGCAAGCCGTCGTCTTCGGGGCCCTCCTGGCAGCTTGCTGCGCGGGCGCGTTCTGCTGCCTCGCCACGAGGCTGCGCGGAGGCGGAAGCAAAACCGATGTGTTCCCCTCGCTGTCGCCTTCTGGGCCTCCTGGATCTGTCGGCGGTGCGCCAAAGGGGGGGGGGGAGTGAGAGGCGACAGCCCTTCTTGGAAGGCGGCGAGGCATCTCAGAAGCTTCCCAGCTTTCTGAGAAGCCCTCTGTGCCCTCGGAGAGGAGGAGGAGGAGGAGGAGGAGGAGGAGGAGGAGGAGGAGAAGGAGACAGGAAGCCTCTCAGAGGGTCAGAGGCCCTCTGATCTTTCTGAGCATGCCCGCGCCCTCTGCCTTCCCCCCGGGGCGCGCCGCCGACTTGGGGGGGCCCTCGTCACGTCTGGGTTCGCTGGAGAGCTCTGGTCAGAAAGCACCCCAGGGGAGAGACGTCTGGAGACGGGCAGTAATGATCGGATCGATATCTCTTTTGCCGCACCAGAGGTACAAGGTGGCGCGCCCCGCGTCCTCTTCCGGGCTCGCCCACGGGAAGCTCTTCGACGGCGTCGTTGGTGGCTGTGGCGACCAGCACGAGCTTTCGCAGGTGTGCGGGAATCCGAGGGTGGTGCCGGCCGTTTGATCGGTGGCGGGGGGGGGGGGTACGGTCGACCAGGGTGCCTTCTCAGCCACTCCCCCGCTTTCCCTTCGGACGGAATTCTGCCTTGATGATGCTTCCCTCGCATCCGCTTCAGCCTCGCGTCGCGTCGATCCATGCGTAGCAACCCCCTATATCTCCCCCTCACGGTGGCTGAAACGCGTAAGGGCACACTTTTTGACTTGGAGCAGGTTGTCAATTTTTTGTGGGGCTCAAAGGGTTTGGAATTTTACATGGAACTGTCGACAATTTTGGAACTGCTGAAAATTTCAAAACTCTGTTGGTTCTGGATGTTTTGGGATTCCTGAACGCCTCGGTTTCGGATTCCCCGGCATTTTTTTTTTTTGTTGTTGTGTGTGTGTGTGTGTGTGCGTGCGTGCGTGTGTGTGTGTGTGTGTGTGCGTGTGTGTGTGTGTGTTTTCTGTTGGGAAAATTATGATGTTTGTTCAAGTTGTGGAAATTTCAAGCAGTTTTTGGTTTGTGAAATGACGTATCCCCACCAGCCCATCCAGAGCAGATCGCCAGGAGAGTTGCCTTGATCAGGGAAGTGTAGAAGAGTGCAGTGTAACAACCGCCTTGGAAGCGCTGTTTCGGAGGTCTCTTGGCGCCTCATTGGGCTCTCTTGGGGCGCTCTCGGGAGCCTTGGTGGCGCTCTTGGAGCCATCTTGGAGGAGATCGATCAAGCAAGGGGGGGTTCATTCATTAGCCTCTGCCTCGGAAGACTCCAACATCGCCTCTTGGGCCCCTCTTGGAGTGTTCTTGGGGCGCTCTTGGGCGCTCTTTGGGCCGTCTTGGGGCTCTCTTGGGCCTCTCTTGGGCCCCTCTTGGGCTTTCATGGGCAATTTTGATGCCTCGGAAGGCCATCGAAAGCAAAAAGGCGAGAAGGCACAATTCATTGATTCTCCTGAGGGCTTTGTGCGACTTTGGACTCTCGGGGGCCTCCGTGGAAGGCTCCATGGCAACTTGGAGCCGTCTTGGAACGGTCTTGGAGCATCTTGGAAACCATATTGCGCCAGCTTGGGCTATCTTGAGCCATCTTGGAGGTCATCTTGGGCTCTCTGAGGCCCTCTTGTAGCCATCTTGGGCCATCTTGGACGCTCCAACGCCCCGCGAAGACCCTCCTCCAGGTCCAGGGGATGGGGGTATGGGGGAGGGGTGCACCCCTCCCCGAAGGGGAACAGGGGGGGGGGTGGAAGAGAAACCGCTCTAGATCACCTACGCCCAGAGGGCTGGTTGGATTCTGGAAGTTTCGAGTTTTCGGGATTGCTGGTCGCCTGGGTTTCGAACTCCTTGGCCCCAGGAGATCTTTACGAGTCTGGAACTGTTCAACGAACTTGTCGGGTTCGAAACCTTTCGGGTTCGACTTCTGAATGGCGCTCCCGCCCATGACTTCCTCCCCATCCTCGCACAATTCATCGTCATCCTCCTCGTCCGCCATGTGCAAGTGGCTCGCGCCATTCGCAGCTTGCGACGATCGTGGAAGTTATCGAGTGGCCTTCGGTCCCGCCCGCACCCGCCACCGAGCCTGGGCTGTGGACCCGGAGCCCTTTGGATGCAGATGAGGGCTTCATGGGATTTTTCGAGGAAGGTTTTTTCGATGAAGCAGTTTTTCGTTGAAGGAGTTTTGGATCAAGGAGTTGTTCGATGAAGGATGAAGGAGTTTTCGATGGAGGTGTGTTCGATGAAGGAGTTCTTCGGTGACGGAGTTTTCGTTGAAGGAGATTTCGGACGAGGGAGTTTTTCGGTGAAGGAGTTTTTGGATGAAGGATTATTTGAATGATGAAGGAGTTCTTTGACGAATTAGTACTTACCTAACAGCTTTTGCTGATAGGTTTCTAGTGGGATCAAATGAGAGCATCTTGACGCCCCAGGGGGTCTGGGCGGGATCCGGACAAGGAACCGGGCAAAAGTGCAGCCCCAGGAATCCTTAGGAATCCTTGCGAATTCTTAGGAATCCTTAGGAATCCATTCCCAGAACGCCATTCCCAGGCCACATTTTGAATGCCCGGAGCTAACTGTAGGCCACTTCGTGTTCCCAGAACACATTCCCAGGCCACATTTTGAATGCCCGGAGCCAACTGTAGGCCACTTCGTGTTCTTCGTGTTCCCGGAACACCATTCCTGTACAATATTTTGATTGCCCGGAGCCAACTGTAGACCACTTCGTGTTCTTCGTGCTCCCAGAACACTATTCCCAGGCCACATTTTGAATTCCCGGAGCCCACTGTAGGCCACTTCGTGTTCTTCGTGTTCCCAGAACATTATTCCCAGACCACATTTTGAATGCCCGGAGCCAACTGTAGGCCACTTCGTGTTCTTCGTGTTCCCGGAACACCATTCCTGTACAATATTTTGATTGCCCGGAGCCAACTGTAGACCACTTCGTGTTCTTCGTGTTCCCAGAATACCAGTCCTGTGCCATATTTTGAATGCCCCAGCTGAGGCAGGCTGCGGCCGAGGTAGGCTGAGGCCGAGGCAGGCTGAGGCTGAGGCTGAGGCACGCCGAGGCAGGCTGAGGCTGAGGCTGTGGCAGGCTGAGGCTGAGGCAGGCTGAGGCTGAGGATGACGCAGGTTGAGGCCGAGGCAGGCTGAAGTTGAGGCTGAGGCAGGCTGAGGCTGAGGCAGGCTGAGACTGAGGCCGAGGCAGGCTGAGGCTGAGGCTGAGGCTGATGCAGGCTGAGGCTGAGATGCTGACGCTGAGGCTGAGGCAGGCTGAGGCTGAGGCTGAGGCCGAGGCAGGCTGAGGCTGAGGCTGAGGCAAGCCGAGGCAGGCTGAGGCTGAGGCTGAAGCTGCGGCAGGCTGAGGCTGAGGCTGAGGCTGAGGCTGTGGCTGAGGCAGGCTGCGGCTGAGGCAGGCTGAGGCTGAGGCAGGCTGAGGCTGAGGCTGAGGCAGGCTGAGGCTGAGGCTGAGGCAGGCTGAGGCTGAGGCAGAGGCCGAGGCAGGCTGAGGCTGAGGATGAGGCTGATGCTGAGGCAGGCTGAGGCTGAGGCAGGCTGAGGAGGAGGCTGAGGCAGGCTGAGGCTGAGGCACGCTGAGGCTGAGGCTGAGGCAGGCTTAGGAGGCTGAGGCAGGCTGAGGCTGAGGCAGTCTGAGACTGAGGCTGAGGCAGGCTGAGGCTGAGGCTGAGGCTGATGCAGGCTGAGGCTGAGAGGCCGAGGCTGAGGCTGAGGCAGGCTGAGGCTGAGGCTGAGGCAAGCCGAGGCAGGCTGAGACTGAGGCTGAAGCTGAGGCAGGCTGAGGCTGAGGCTGAGGCAGTGGCTGAGGCTGAGGCAAGCTGCGGCTGAGGCAGGCTGAGGCTGAGGCTGATGCAGGCTGAGGCCGAGGCAGGCTGAGGCTGAGGCTGAGGCAGGCTGAAGGCTGAGGCTGAGGCCGAGGCAGGCTGAGGCTGAGAGGCTGACGCTGAGGCTGAGGCAGGCTGAGGCTGAGGCTGAGGCCGAGGCAAGCTGAGGCTGAGGCTGAGGCGAGCCGAGACAGGCTGAGGCTGAGGCTGAGGCTGATGCAGGCTGAGGCTGAGGCTGTGGCTGAGGCTGAGGCAAGCTGCGGCTGAGGCAGGCTGAGGCTGAGGCTGATGCAGGCTGAGGCTGAGGCAGGCTGAGGCTGAGGCTGAGGCGGAGGCAGGCTGAGGTTGAGGCTGAGGCCGAGGTAGGCTGAGGCTGAGGCCGAGGCAGGCCGAGGCAGGCTGAGGCTGAGGCTGAGGCAGGCTGAGGCAGGCTGAGGCTGAGATAGGCTGAGGCTGAGGCTGAGGCAGGCTGAGGCTGAGGCAGGCTGAGGCTGAGGCCGAGGCAGGCGAATCCTTCGGAATCCTTAGGATTCCGTAGGAATCCTTTCTGGAATCCCTAGGAATCCCTAGGAATCAGGATTCCTAAGGATTCCTAAGGTTTCCTAAGGTTTCCTAAGGTTTCCTAAGGTTTCCTAAGGATTCCTATGGATTCCTAAGGATGCCTAAGGATGCCTTAGGAATCCCTGGGGATCCTTAGGATTCCATTGGATCCTAAGGCCGTTGCCACTGCGACTGTCATTGCGAATGCGACTGCGACTGCGAGAACAGCATATTTCTACAACTGGGTTCTCACCTGAATCTTAATTGGAATGCTTCCAGCTATGCTTATACACATCGCTGTTAGGCTGCTTTGCCAGTTTTTTTTTTGTTTGGGGGGGGGGGGGTGGTGGGTGGATGAAGAAGTTTTTCGATGAAGGAGAATTTTCGGTTTGGATGTACGAGTTGTTCGTTGAGATAGTTTCTTCGATGACAGAGATTGTTGATGAAGGTTTAGTCAAGGAGTTTTTCGGTCAAAGACTTTTCGATTCAGGTTTTTCTGTTCGGTGAAAGAGTTTGTCGATCGATGAGCTCTAGATGACAGAGTTTTTGGATTGACGAGTTTTTCGGTACATGAGTTTTTTTGGAGTTTGTCTGTGAATTTGTTTTTTCCTAAAACAAGGCAGTGGTTTGTGGATGAAGGGAGCTGTTTGATGTAGGATTTTTTGGATGCAGGAGTTTTCTGGTGAAGGAGTTGTTTGATTAATGCGGTTTTCGATGAGGGTGTTTTTCGATGAGGAAGGTCTCGGTGAAGGAGTTTTTGAGGTGTTCACTGATAATGTGGTCCCACAGGCGGCTGGGTGATCACAGTCCCAGTGGCTCTGGGGAGCTGATTGGCTCAAACACTCCTGATTGCATGTTGATGCTTGTCAGGAGTGGTGCTCGCTGTCAATGTGGTTCCACAGGCTGCTGGGTGCTCGCAGTTACGGTGGTGCTGAGGCGCTGATTGGCACAAGCACCCCTGACTGCGTACGGCTGCTTGCCAGGAGTGGCGTCACTGGCAATGCTGTACCACAGGCGTTCTGAGCATGGATGAGGCACCCATTACGGTAGCAAGAGCGGGCACCTTTGGCAGGAAACCCGTCAATGAGGCAGCCACTAAGGGCGCGGGTCGCTGGTCGCGGGCGCGGG